TTTTTCCGTGTCCGGCAACGGATCGCAACCCTCAGTGTTGCCCCCGTACCGGACTGGGGACCGGCAACAGGATTACAACCCTCGGCGTTGCTCCCGCGCCTCGCTCAGCCAGTGAGCGGGAACCGGTCCGTTTGTGGGATCCGAACCCTCGGGCGGGAGCGCCGCCGCGCTTCCCAAGTGGCGCACTATCCAGTGCGCCACCGGGCCGGCCCAGGATTAAACTGTTTTGCAGTAATCTTTAAATTTTTGTTCCGCTTTAAAGAAATCAATATTTGAATTAGTAGACAGCATTTTGGGTATAGTTTACACAAGAATAATACATGAACCTCCTCTTAGTGGATTGGTTTTGGCTTTCCATCAAAAGTTTGGCAGATGAATAAAAGCACATTAATACGTTAAAAAAAATCTGTCTAATATCATACACACACAAACACACAGTTTTTACTATTATAATTCCTAGATTTAACTGAAGAACTATTGGTCCAATAGTTCTACATAAGAGGACTTCTTTTATAGTTTTAAATAATGGAGAAAAAGCACTTCGCGTCCTGTCAGTAAGTAAGTGCATTTCAATATTGGGTACTCTAGAATACTGAAGAGCCTTTAGGACTCAAAGAAAAGAATGGTGGAAATTTATAGTGTCAGCATTCAGTGGGATTTTTCAGAAGGAGACTCCTGCTTGGCAGGGCTGAAATCACTGTGCCTCTTGCAGGTCAAGCCAGTTTCCTGGGAGATATTAAGGAAGGAAAACCACGAGAGGAAGGAAAGGTGGGAAACTTACTTCTCCATTTCAGAAAAGAAATATATATCATTGATTACAAAGTTGATGATAATAATCCTGTGGCCAAATATACGGCGCTTCATAAGGATTGTTTCTCCATTCTCCTGGTCTGCACTCCGGACATTTGTGGAGAGCAAGGTTGGATGTCCCGATATGTTGGGTGATGCGGGGAAATCTAAAAGAAAAAGAGAAATCTGGTTTGATCAAGTCACCTCTAAGCCTTCAACCTGGGCATAACAAAAATTAAAAAAGGAGATTGTGGACCTATCGTTTGGGCCTATTGAAGTAGTCATTCCCTAACAGTGGGTTCAACCTTTTACTTAGACTTTAAGGACTCCTGAAAAAGTCATCTGCTCAGGTGGTATGACACTATACACATGAAAAATAAAAATCAACTTAGCACTGAAGGAGGTTTTCCTGGTGCTTGTCTAATAGGAATATAACCATACTGTGTACAGTTACAGTAATCCCCACGGTTTCTGTGAATACTGTGAAAACTGAAGAGGCAGATGTGACCTTCACAATGGAATGTGTGGTTCTGATGATGCTTATTCAAGGTTTATCAGGGAAGTAGTTTGGGAGTAGACTGGGAAAACAGCATGAAGAAAAAGCCATAACATCAAAAGTAAAGAGTAGGTTTATTAAAGAAACTAAAAGTAGAAAGCTAGAGTAGAAGAGAGACAGGAATGGCTAAAGGAGAGCATAGAAAGTTCTAGAAGTTTGGGATTATGTCTCATAAAAGTGATATGCTTATTTTAGAAAGTTTCTTAACTGGGATACATCCAAAGAAATCCTTCCATGTGGATTCAGGTCTGAGAAGAGAGCAGTTTTGGGCTGGATTTGACAAGTAGACCCTCATTAATTGCCTGTCTGGGTTTAAGGAAATTGCCTAATCCATCTCTAGAATTTACTATTCTCCTGTAAATTCTTTATTCTGAAGTCCTGTTCAGGAATTACTTATGTGGGTTTGGTGCTCCTAGGGTGTAAGTGGTATTCCTTTTGGTGTAGTATTATATATAGGATCGGAGGAAAACTGAATTTCATAAATAACTAGCACTCGTGTGTCCCAGACACTGTGCTAGGTCCTAGGGTTACTGCACTGAATAAGACATAAGGTCCCTACACTACTACCTGACACCTTTTCTCTTTCTCTCTTAGACTTGAATTTGAAGGGGAAAAAAAAGTCTAGGCAGTATTGAAAATTGAGATGATGGTCAGGAATTGTAGGAAAGAGGATGCTAAATGCACCCAAGAAACCGTAGAAGTCATGGGATGCTTGTAAACTGGCTGTGGTGAGGAAGAGGGAGACCTGATTTGTATTATTTGCGGATTCCTATTGTAAATGTTCCCACTGTAATTGAGTTCAGGCTACTGAGGGTTTACCAACTGGCTCACAAAATGTCTGAATATTCAACAATTGGCTCTCACCAACCAGTGTGAGCAGTTCTAGCTCACTATTACCTGGGAGTCATATTCAACTTCTTCCTCCTTTCACGTCCAAATTAGTCACCAAATCCTGTTGATCCTGCTTTCTAAATGTATTTCAAATGTACCCACTGTTTGTCTTTCTTGCAAATACATTTGTTCAAAGAATCATCATCTTTCACTTAACTTATTGCAAAACCACTTCATTGTTATCAGGGTGAGGACTAGGGTAAAGTGACTGAAGTATCTAGGACACAAAATTGAAGGAAGCACTCACTCTCGAAGAGGTACAAGTGCAGAATTGGCACTTACTTGACCCCGAGAGTCAGTGCCTCCTTAACTTTCATGCCTTATGTGGCTCACTTGCCTCACCCTAGTCCTAACCCTGCTGTTCTTCTTGTACTGAGTTTTGCTTCCTTCTAGTGCATTCTCTACACTACAGTTAGAATAAGCATTCTAAAACACAAACTGGATATTGTTACTTCTCTGCTAAAAGTTTTTTATTAGAATTTCTGTCCACTTCTGTCCAAGATAGAGTACCAGGGGCCATATTTATCTTCCCTCATGAAACAATAAAAAAATCAGATAAAAAATATGAAACAATGGTTTTCAAGACACTGATTATCAGGGAATTAAGAACAGTGATCACTGAGATTTGGGAAAAAATGAGGTGAACCCAGCTATTGCCCCACTTTACCACCTTGAGAGAGGTCCATTCCACAGTCCAGGGAGGGGAAACACAGACAAAGTCCAGTGGACTCTGAACTGAGGAGATGGACCTGAAAGTTTAGTGAGACCAGTGGTGACCAGATCAGAGTTTACAGGACTGAGTTCAATGAGGAAAGAGAGAATCCTGGAAACCTGTAGAGGGTTCCTTGAGGAATCAGCAGAGTACTGACCAGCTCAAGCGTTGAGGAAACTACTCAAAAATAAAAAGCAAAATAAAGACATTTTCACACACATAAAAGCTGAAATAATTCATCACCAGCAGACTGCATTAAAAGAAACATTAAAGGAAGTCCTCTAGACACAGGAAAAATGGTATCAGAGGAAAATATGAACCTGCGCAAAGGAATGAAGAAGAGTAGAAATGGTAACTAAATGAGAAAATATATGATTTTTTTCTTATTTAAATCTCTTCAAAAGATAATTGTGTATTTAAACAAAAATAAGAGCAGTGTATCGTGGCTTTTGAAACATATGGATAAATAAAATGTGTGGCAATAATATCATAAAGGCCACGAGGGGAGAAATGAAAATATACTCTTTTGATGTTCTTTTACTATCCATGAAGTAGTATAATATCACTTGAAGATAGACTGTGATAAGTTAAAGATGTTTACTATAAACCATAAAGCAACCCATAAAATAACAAAGTAAAAGTAATTGCTAATAAGATAACAAATAAAATAAAATGGAATTATAAAAAAACACACAATCCAAATGAAGGCAGTAAAAGAAGAAAAAGGGAACAAGAACAGATGGGATAAATAGAAAACAAATAGTAAGATGATAGACTTAAACCTAAGCAAATCGATAACCACATGAAATGCAAATGTTCTAAATATTCTAATTAATTTGTAGTAATGAATATGCTAATATTGATTTGACCATCACATATTACATACAAATAATGATAGTCAACACTGTGCCCCCAAAATATGTATTATGCTTTGATAAAATAAATTTAAAACAAATCCTAATCAAAGGGCTAAAGTTGTCAAGTTAGACTTTTTTTTTTTCTTTAAAAAGCCACACTCACCTATATGCTGGCTTCAGGAAAACACTTTAAATGTAAGGCACAAATTGCTTATAAATAAATGGAAAAAAATATACAAGTTAACACTAATCAAAAGAAATTTGGAGTGACTATCTTAATATCAAACTAAATTTCAGAGAAAAAATATTACTGAGAATAAAGAAGTTCCTTTCATAATGATAAATGGATCATTTAATTGAAGGACATAACAATACTAAATAAACATCTATGACTCTCCATAACACAGCTTCAAAATACATAAAGGAAAATCTGATATAACTGTAAGGAGAAATAAATCCACAATTATAATTGTCATAATGATAAATGGATCATTTAATTGAAGGACATAACAATACTAAATAAACATCTATGACCCTCCATAACACAACTTCAAAATACATAAAGGAAAATCTGATATAACTGCAAGGAGAAATAAATCCACAATTATAATTGAAGATTTCAATATCCTTCTCTCAAAAATTGACAGGATAAGTAGACAGAAAATCAGTAAAGATATAGTAGACTTGAACACTATTATCAGTCAACATGGTCTAATTTACAGAATACTATACTCAACAACAGCAGAATATGTATTTTTTTTCCAAATGCATATGAAACATTTACCAGGACAGACTGTATTTGGGGCCATAAAAATGTGTCAGTAAGTTTACAGGGATTCAGGTCTTATAAAGTATGTTCTCTAACCACGATGGAATTAAATCAGAAAAAAAATAACAGAAAGATATCTGGCATGGGTCAAAGAAGATATCAAAAAGACAATTAGAAAATATTTTGAACTGAATATAAGTTAAAATACATCATATCTGAATTCATAGAATATCACTAATTTGAGAGAGAACAACAAAACTGGAGTACTTACACTACTCCTTTCCAAATTTATTTTAAAGCTATAGTGATAAAGACAGTATTGGTATAGAAACAGACATGTATATCCACGGAACGTAAATAGACCCAATTCATTTTTTGCTATAAAACTTCTTGAGGAAAAGAAAGGAGTAAATCTTATTAACATTGTGTTAGGCAAAGATTCTTAAATAGAAAACAAGATGCACAAACTATAGAAAAAAATTGATTAAACAGACTTCATCAAAATTAAAAACTTCTGCTCTTCAAAAGATGCTGTTATAAAAATGAAAAAGTGGAAGAAAATATTTGCACAATGTGTATCCATCAAAGAACATATCCAGATTACATAAGGAATTCTGGTAACTCAATAATAAGATAACAAACAAACCAATTTTTAAATGGAGCACGAGATTTAGACAGACACACCAGTACAGAAAAAAAATATATGGATGCCAAGTAAGCACATGAACAGATGCTCAACATCATCAGTCATCAGAGAAAATGAAAAGTAAACTATAATGATTGTAGTGGACTGAATTATGTCCCCCCCAAACTCCCTGAAGCTTGAATTATGTCTGCCAAGTTTATATATTAGAAACTTAGCCTCCACTGTGACTGTTAAGAGGGTGGGAAATCCTATTAAGGTAATTGAAAGGTGGAGCCTTAAATAGGTGATTGGATTGTAAGACCGTGCAGTAGTGAGTGGATTAAAAACAGTGATCAAGGGTGTGGTTCTGAGGGCTTTAAAAGAAGAGGAGAGTCCATCTTCTTGCTCTCTCTGCTCTCTCTGCTTCCACCATCTTGCAATGTGAGACTCCTGGGTCACTGTCAC